TTATTGTGAAGGTCTGTGTCTTATGTGAGTGTTTTCAGTTTGCCTCCCTAGTCTTGTCATGTTAATTACTCCCAGCTGTGTTCCCACCTGTATGTAATCCCCCTGTGTTCTCTGAGTGTATTTAAGTTGTGTCTTCTGTCATAGTAGTTGCTGGTTCGTCTGTGTTGTTTCCCCTCGGTCTCCCTGTATGTATTTCCCCGGACCTCCCTGCACCGTCATTCCTGGTTTGTGTTGTTAGTTTACCCAGTTTAGGTTTCGGTTTCATGTTCACACCCCGTTGCTGTTTGTACCCACTGCTGTAAATAAACACTCACCTGCACCAGAGCTGCCGCCTTTTGGGTCCTTACTACAAATCCACACGGCTTGCCCCGCAAACCGTGACAGAGCATGTGGACAACAGGTGAGAACTCCCTGCATCAGGGTTTCAGCCTGATTCCAGCCCACTGCCTGTCCTCCACGGGACCGTTGCGTGTTTTATTTAATTTATTTATTTTATGTTTTTATTTATAATAAAGCTCAATAATGAATTTGACTTGTTCAGACTCAGGCAGTCGCGTTAACCCTAACCTGTCAGCCAAACTGAGACATGTTTGGTAAATTTGCAAGTTCTTTTTGTTCCTAATAAAACAAGAATATGTTACATTGTTACATTGAGTCTCTTTAATTCATTCCTTTAAACAAACTAATGACTGAACGTGAATCAAAAGCACCCAAATGATCTGAAGTCCTCTGTAGGTGACAGCTCCATCTCGTCAAGTGATGACCTCACGGCGGTCTAATGTTACATGCGATGCCATGCTTCAGTGACGTTTCAGTTTCTTGTGGAAATCCATGATTTTTGGAAACAGCTGATGGTGATGAAGGCGGAGCGTCCTGTTCAGTGAAAAACACGAGGGAGACTCTGAACATTGTCTGCAGTCACTTTATTTCCTGTCCTGTCGTTTTCCAGCAGTTGATTCACAGGTTAGTTAGTTAGTTAGTTAGTTACTTAGTTACTTACTTAGTTAGTTAGTTAGTTAGTTAGTTAGTTAGTTAGTTATAGTTGGTGATGTGGCTGTAGTGATGTCACAGTTCTTGTGAGCAGTGAACTCGTGCCGACACGTTCCCATCATTCTTCGTTCCTCTCTTTCTTTTCTGCCGTTTGCTCACTGATTGGCTGTTCAGACACACTGTCATTCATCTTTGTGACCGCACTAAGTTACTTTTTACCTACAGGACGATTTTTGTGATTTTTTTTTTCCACAAGCAGAAAAATGTTGTGTTTGAGTTCTCCTCTTCCTCACAGCAGCAGAAGTAGTGTGTGGTGTGAAGGCAGCAGGGAAACCAGCAGCAGAGTGGAGGTGAAAGCCTTCAGGCGCTCTGACACGTTACGCAATGCCGCGCTGCTCTGACATGTTCCCGGCGGCCGAGCAAAGTACATCCTGAAGGTCGAACGGCGCTCTGGGAAACTTCAGGCGGAAATGTCACGGAACTCTGAGATACCGCTTGTTAAGGAGTTTCCATGTCGCTACACTTCATGAATTCACCGCCACACAGAAGACCTGTGAAATTATTCACTCCTCAGCTCATTGGAGGAAATGTAGTCATTAAAGAATAAATGAGTTCCATAATTATTTATTTCAAGAAGCTGAAAGCTGGAATCCTATTTCTCGTGTAGTGATAAACGATTTCCTCACGAGCCGCCGTAATGAACTTTTTCACGTTTCTGTGTCTCCAAAGGTTTGGCTCAGTGTTCTCGTCTTCAAACCTCTTTACAAACTTTCATTCACCCACCGATGGTCTCAGAGGCACAATGGCAGGTTTAGTTTGGAGAAACACGATCGTTAAAGCAAACCTGAAGGGTCGGCTTCTTCTAGAGATGAGATTTGTATTATCTAATGTGAGACAGTTCCTTTAAAAAAAGCTTCGGAGTGAGGAGAGGTGCTGTCTGTCACCAACCACACATTCAAAGATGCTCACAATGAGCATTGCACTACAACTACAGCTCAAAATGCACAGTTTTTATTCGTTCAAGGAAAAACATCAAGTTCTTTAAGAACCAGCAAAAAAGAAACATCTGATAAACTCTCAGGACAAAAAAAATGACACAGGAAAGTCTAACAACCAGAACAGACCTGAGTGGCAACAAGCTGCACGGCCTGGTTCAAAAGTCCCCTCACCTCAGATCAAAAGTAGTTTTTCACCCAGAATTTTCCCCAAATTCCCCAAACCTGAAAAGTTCTTGAAAAGAGAAATTTCTGCCAGAAATACCTCGCTTTAAAAATAACTGCTGACAGAGAAATAAATAAATAGATCCTGAAGAGTGACAGAAAACCAAACCGTGGGTTCCTCACCTTCCATCACAAACACCAGCGAGCCCACGTCACCCTCTTTAATGATGCACGAGTCCTTCCCATAATCCACCGGGTACATGCAGTCCACGATCTCCTGAATCTGAGACAGCTCCAGGTTCTTCATGAAGTCATTGTCCAAGATGGCCTCCTTTATCAGCTCCTTCGATCTGAGAGGAGGAGAGAGGACAACAGGTCAGTAAGTAAGTCCTTATTCTACTTTCACGAGTATACCTTTATCCTACACGCCTCCTCATTATCAGGGGAAATGTATCTGCGCCGCTATGTTTGGAGGATAAGAGCAAACACCTGTGCGTCTCAAAGTCGGTATCACCTGCATGCACATCTCTCTGGATGGGATAGAGGTCTCAATCTTTATGTGCAAAATAAACTGCCTGTGCGCTGATGTCCTACCAAGTTTTTCTCATTTTTCATGCAGAAATACAGAGTTAGAATACAGAAGCACCACAGGGCTTAAATTAGTCTCCGAACCGCTGCGATTATCGAAGGCTTAAGTATGAATCATGCAAATATTATGGTTGAACCTCACGGTTGTTTCACTTATGACTCATCTGATGATTATTTGATTCAAAAGTTGCTTTAAAAACCAGTGGCCTTGTCACTTGGTGTTCGCTCGCTCAAACACAGTGGTGTTTCTGAGTAGCTTATCTGCTTAGCAATTTAATTAAGAACTGTTAGAAACATTCTTTTTTCATATTACAATCTTCACGTGCTTATCAGAAGCACACTTTCTGTGTGCTCACTACCTAATTTATAGCCAAAGTATTCACTCTCTGTCTCTGTACTGTTTCGCTAGCTTAGCTTAGCTCGTAGCCGACTCGTTAGCACCATGGCTACTTCACCTGTCCCTCCTGCACTTTCTTGCTCCTTGTGTCAGATGTTTAGTTACTCCTCGGCCTCCTTTAGCAGTAAAGGTACCTGTAATAAATGTAGCATATTTGCAGCTCTGGAGGCCAGGATTACTGAATTGGAGAATCTGCTTCGCACCCTTCATTCACCCGTAGCTAGCCAGGCCCCTGTAGCTGGTGCAGCCGAAGATAGCGTAGGCCCCGCTAGCTGTTCCCCGGCAGACCCCAAGCAGCTGGGGAAAGAGGGCGGCTGGGTGACGGTGAGGAGGAAGCATAGTCCTAAACAGAAGCCCCAGGTACACCACCAATCTGTTCATGTGTCTAACCGTTTTTCCCCACTCAGCGACACACCTGCCGGGGGTCAAACTCTGGTAATTGGTGATTCTGTTCTCAGACATGTGAAGCTAGAGACACCGGCAACCATAGTCAATTGTCTTCCAGGGGCCAGAGCAGGCGACATTGAAGGAAATTTAAAACTGCTGGCTAAGGTTAAATGTATGTAAATAAGGGTAAAATTCACGTCGGCAGTAATGACACCCAGTTACGCCAATCGCAGGTCACTAAAATCAATATTGAATCGGTGTGCAACTTTGCCAAAACAATGTGGGACTCTGTAGTTTTCTCTGGCCCCCTCCCCAATCAGACCAGGAGTGACATGTTTAGCCACATGTTCTCCTTAAATTGCTGGCTGTCTGAGTGGTGTCCCAGAAACGATGTGGGCTTCATAGATAATTGGCAAACCTTCTGGAGGAAACCTGGTCTTGTTAGGAGAGACGGCATCCATCCCACTTTGGATGGAGTAGCTCTCATTTCTAGAAATATGTCAAATTTATTAAACCCCCCAAAATATGACTATCCAGAGTTGGGACCACAAAGCAGAGTTGCAGTCTTACACGCCTCTCTGCAGCTTCTCTCCTCCTGCTACCCCCCCAAAAACCCATCTCCATAGAGACTGTGTCAGCTCCCAAACAGACAAAAAACAAACTAAAAACCAGCAACAAACAACTGAAACATAAACAATTACAAAGAAAGAACAATAAAGTATCCACATCTGAACCAAAGAGTAACACAGTGAAATGTGGATTATTAAATATTAGGTCTCTCTCCTCCAAGTCTCTGTTAGTACATGACTTAATAATTGATCAACAAATCGATTTACTCTGCCTTACAGAAACCTGGTTGCAGCAGGATGATTATGTTTAGTTTAAATGAATCAACACCCCAGTTTTCAGGCCCCTCTTCTGTGGAACCAGCTTCCAGTTTGGATTCAGGAGACAGACACTATCTCTACTTTTAAGATCAGGCTTCAAACTTTTCTTTTTGCTAAAGCATATAGTTAGGGCTGGACCAGGTGATCCTGGATCCTCACACCGAACACGATAGACATGAGCGAAAACGCCCCAGACGCCCCCAATTTGACGTGTGCACATTCGCACCTCGTCGCGTGTCCAACACAAATCAATCGCGCCTCAAAATTGCATATTTTGACATGCGTGAACCGGAAATGTGGGAGGAAGTTGTGCCTGACGGTATCTTTGCAAGATGGCAGCTGTCGAGCTAGCGTTTGAAGAGAGAGTCTCCCTTCTGTATTTACTGTGGAGAGCAGAGCAGCAGCGTTAAGGCCGTCCTCGCCGTACCTGGGTCCATCAGGTCCTGCAGACGCGCGAGCAGTTTGGTGAGTTTCACCACTTGCTTTAGGATCTGCACCTGGATGACGGCCGATTTCAGCGATACCACCGTCTTTCACTCGGCCAGTTTGAGGACCTGCTGTCCCGCGTTGGTCCCAGAATCGCCCGCCTAGATACCAACTAAAGGCGCTCAATCCCACCTGCAGAGCACCTGTCTGTCTGCCTGAGGTTAGTAAAAGTGTTTAATACGGTAGTCCTTTATTGAAACCTGTGGTAATATATGCTAAACTATCGTTTATACACTGCTAACATGGATGTGCTATGCTATCAATGAATGCCGTCAGTGTTTAATGATAGCAAACTGTGGTATGAGGACCACTGTGAGTTAACCTTTGTAGTGATACTCCTTTTTATTTAGACCTGGTTTAATTCTGGGATAGTTGAATATTTGTTATATAATCACCACAGACTGTTTTACATTATATCTAATATATATCATGTAATTATCCTTATAATTACAAAATGTTTTATGTAAGATTTATGTTTTGTAATTTAAATCTGACATCACAAAAGTATTTTGGAATTGAAATAATGTATTTGTAACTGCAGTACACATAATACTAATTCTAAACAATTTTGTCCAGGTTCCTTGTCACCGGGGACTCCTTCAGGACCATCGCATTCAGTTTTCGAGTTGGTGTGTCCATGGTGAGCCAGATCATCCCCCAGGTAGCGACGGCCATCTGGTACTGTCTAGTGGACGATTTCATGGCTGCGCCTTCAACTGCAGACTGGCGGTCCATTCCAGGAGCGCTGGAACTTCCCTCTCTGCTGTGGAGCTCTGGATGGGAAGCACGTCCAGACGAAGGTACCCCCCAACTCAGGATCCATGTTCCACAACTACAAGGGAACTTTCTCCATTGTTCTCCTTGCGGTTGTGGATGAAAGGTATCGCTTCCGCGTTATTGATGTTGGGGGATACGGGAGGACCAGCGACGGTGGTATTCTGGCCAACTCCACCTTTGGTCAGGCTCTTCGGGCTGGGACTCTCCATATGCCTCCTGACCAGCCTCTACCTGGTGGAGAACACCGTGGAGCTCAGCCCCATGTCTTTGTGGCTGATGAAGCGTTCCCGCTGTGGCGTGAGCTCATGAGGCCTTTCCCTGGACGCCTCCTCCCTTTAAAGAAGAGGATCTTTAACTATCGCCTTTCCAGGGCCCGGATGATAGTGGAGGGGGCCTTCGGTGTCCTCTCCTCACAGCGGAGGTTGTATTGGCGCTCCATGGAGCTCCGCCCTGAAATTGTGGAGAAGTGTGTGAAGGCAACTTGTGTTCTCCACAATTTTCTGCGCTGTGTGGACGAGAGAGGGGCACCTGCTATGAGGGGTGTGGCACCTGCTATGAGGGGTGTTGCACCTGCTGTGAGGGGTGTGGCACCTGCTGTGAGGGGTGTGGCACCTGCTGTGGTGGAGCCGTTGCAAGGCCTGGGTCATGTAGCAGCAAACAACTCCTCCAGAGAGGCTGTCCTGGTGAGGGAGAAATTCATGGCCCACTTCTCGGCGGAGGGAGCTGTGTCTTGGCAACCAAAGGAGTAGCCTGTTTGAAGTCCGAGTGACTTCCCCACAACGGCTCTTTTAAGAGCCACCCACAAACCTCTAACGAGTGTTCCTGTCTTTTTAAAATTTTCTTAATAAATGGAGCTCTACTCCAAAATAAACTAACCTCTCTTTACTCTCTTAAATAACTTGTCTTCACTATGTTCCTATATACAGTGTGATGCAAAAGTTTGGGCAACCTTATTAATAGTCATTAGTTTCCTGTATGAATCGCTGTTACAGTAAAAAATGTCACTTGCATATATCATATAGGAGACACACACATTGATATATACACTAAATATTCATTTCATTTCTCTTTTTTTGTGTTGCCAATTTATGCACCTGCTTGATTTAGTTTAAACAGTTATTGCACACTTTCTGTAAATCCAGTGAACTTCATTTCACTTCTCAAGTATCACTGTGTGTGTCTCCTATATGATATATGCAAGTGACATTTTTTACTGTAACAGCAATTTATACAGGAAAATAATGACTTTTCACAAGGTTGCCCAAACTTTTGCATCCCACTGTATTAGTATATATTGTCATTAGTATAATATGAAATAAATTCTACTTGTGTCAAGTCGGGTGCCAACATTTGCTGTGTAGTAGAACAGAAACATGAGTCATTACAAATGTTTATTGGAAAAAATATATAAATTCACTAACAAAAACATTAAACATAAATATATAAAATTCAACTATTTACAGAGAGACAGGAATAAAAAGGACCCAGCTTGGAGTGGAAGAGCTTCAGGGAGAAGGAGAAAAATCAGAACATTGTTTCTGCCCTGGAGAGCTGCTGCCTCATCAGAAAACTACTGATCATTAGGGTCCAATGTTTCCAAATTTAACACAGCTGTGCTGTTTCCACAAACTAATTTATACATTTGAAATTTCATGAATTCTCGTGTCTGAGGCGGCATGCTCTCCAGAGCAGGAACAAGGCTGAGGAGGAAATGCTCCGTTGGAGACTGGCGTGGCCACTTCAGGGACTCCAGGATGGCCAGCTCCACTGCCTATGGACCATCCTGGGACCCGTGCCTCGACCGCCTTTGAGCCGTCCTCCTCTGTGG